AAGGAGTTCCACTCTCTAGCCGTTCGCATAAGATGGCCGAAGCAAATCGCTTCGTGCGAATGGGAGGAACTTCGACAACATAAGGGTGGAAGCCCTCGCTGCGCCTGGTTGTCCGGTGGTGGAAAGGGGAAGGGGGGATCAAAGTATGTAATACCTCCGCACACTCTCCGAAATGTAACCGATAAAACACCGAGAGGCAAGCTACACGTCTTCGGTGGTCAAGGCTCTGGAGATTAGCCTCAACGAGAGCGTCTTTGCCTATGAGTCTATTCGCACGGTGTTCCACCGAGTCCAGTGCATCCAGCTGATACCGAGCGGATCCGTCCCAAAGGTGACAACAGTACTCCAAGCAGGTACTTCTAATAGACATGAGCATTATGGACCCCGTCGGACACGCAATTGGTATTAGAAGAGAGGATGCGCTTCCCAAAACAACACTAACACTAAAAATTAAGGTAAAAAAACCTTTTTAAAAACAAGGTTTTATTTAAATGCGCTAAAAAGAAAAAAATAAACTTTTACACTAAAATTTTTACTGTTAACTTATAACGTCATTTCAAATTTAACACATTCGACTCAATTTATATGTTATAAAAGCTTGTCGCGAGTTAAGTACTCGTATTTACTTTAGTTTTAATATTAGTTTTAAAATTGTAATAGGCAGCCGCCATGTTGGATTTAGAATCCACGTCACACGTGCATACCAAATTTCAGCTCAATCGGTTGAGGGCAAGTGTCTTAAAATTGAGTTGTAAGATTCCACCCGAACAAACATACATTGCAAATTAAATAAAAGCTTGTAACATTATAATTGGAAGATAGAGATTGTTTCATATGTTGTTGATTGTGATAATTGGATTTTTATTTAGATTTACATTATCTGATTTAATTATAAAAAAGAAATAAAATAAATATAAATTATTTGCATATGTATATTAACAATTACTGATTTTATCATTAAAATATTAATTTATATAATAATAACATTTGTTAATTAGAAATTCCTTTAACTTATTTTTAAATGTCAAGTAATTATTTTCATTCATTATTGTAATAGACAATTAGTTATAAATTTTAATAGATGAATCAAATGTGCTTGATGATGTTAGTTTTAGTCTAGAATGGCAATATTAATATATTAATATTAAATTATTTTTGTGTCGAGATGTGTATCTAGATGGAATGTCTTGTCGTCTTGTGTAGAAATCATTAAGATTGCGTACAAATTTGCACATTTCCAAAACATACAAACATGGTAGATGAAGTATCTAATACTCTTGAAAATATGGTATACAGCTCTCAGTCTACTCAATGTTGGCTATGATAACGAAGAAACTTCGGAACGGAACGGAAGAATGAAGAAACTTCCACCTTATAAATTACCCCATTAAAATAACACTACCATTTGCTGTTGTTGTGTTTCTGTTGGTCAGTAGGGTTCCAGGGCTTCGAGGGGCAGGGGATTGGGTTATAACCTATTAGGTGAGGATGGCAGGAGCGGCACACTGTCTGCCACGTCATTTATCTTCGCGACTGGACTTACCAGGTGGAGTGGGGTAATGAGTTATAGATATATGAGGAGCTCGATGGCGCAAGTGGTTAGTGCGTTCGGCTGCGATCGTTGCAGTTAAGCAACTTTCGCAATGGTCGGTCATTGGATGGGTGACCAAAAATTTACTATCTCGAGTTCCTTCGTGCTTCGGAAGGCACGTTTAGCCGTTGGCCCCGGCTGCATCTGCAGTCGTTAGCACCCACCAATCCGCACTGAGCCCGCGTGGTGGGTCATGGCCCAATCTCCCTATTCCATCCATTGGGAAAGCCTGTGCCCCAGCAGTGGGGACATTAATAGGCTGATGATGATGATGATATGAATACTAACCCGTAATAATTGGTCGCTCTCAGCTCTGAGACCGTTCTTGATTACAATCTTGGTATGCTGTTTTGTATGAAAACAGTACCTTAAGATCGTAATATTAGAGTTGAGAGTGATATATTAATACGGGCCCAAGTCTCTATACTTAAAGTATGAGGTTCTCAATCCATCGATATCTAATAATTTTTAGGGTTCCGAGTCTCGCCGCACTCTGGTTGCGGCGCTCGGCGGTCGAGACCTCCCGTTGCCAAGCATGGTTAGAGCCATGCTTGGTAGCGAGCGGACCTGGAAGGCTGCCGCCTCCTTCTGCGAATCGGTGATGACGCAGAAGGAGGCCGCGGAGAGGGAGTGGGAGGAGGACGCTCTAGCCGCTCCCCTCCGACGTAGACGGGTGGGCCGAAGAAGGCAGGCAGCCGTGACTGCCGGTCTTCGTCGGCCCTAAGGTGGTCTGAGCGCGACTTGGCCGCCGCATGCCGTAGGTGCCATTCGGGATAGGCCACCCCGTCTGGGGATTGTCTAGTACCCTAGTGCAATCCCCCAGAGGCGTGTCCACTAGTTGGGCCGGGCCTATGGTCCGTAAATGGATTTTCCATCGTCAAAAAAAAATGTGTGCGTGTACTAGTGTACACACGTAAGAAGTGAAACTTCTTTATGGCCTTATTTTTCGAAAAATGATCTACATGCAACTTTCCAGAAATTGGTTAAATAAAGTTAAATTAGATAAAGTTTAAACAAAAGGATTTTATTATCATAGACATGAATACAAATTACTGCCTATGAAACTGTTATGATTACACGGCTCAGTAATCTAAGGCACATGTTCCACTTCCGACGATGAACGATAAGCGAGTAGAAACTAGAAACGAATTGGCAGTCCTGAGTTAAAATGCACGCGCACGGCTTTTGACAGCCAAGCCAGCTTAACCGAGCGAGTATAGCTGAGTGAGTATCGCTGAGCTAGTATCGCTGAGCGAGTATCGCTGAGCGAGTATCGCTGAGCGAGTATCGCTGAGCGAGTATCGCTGAGCGAGTATCGCTGAGCGAGTATCGCTGAGCGAGTATCGCTATGCGAGTTTGGCTGAGCGAGTCTTATCTTTAATAACTATTGTCACTCATCTACAAACGAGTAGAGAGAGTTCTCGCCGGCGACAGTGTGATCATTCAGCTATCAACTATTAATATAAAAAGGTTCCGAGTCTAAAAGGAACCTTGTAGTTTCACTATTTCCATTTAATCAGTAGTAAGTTATAGGTACTTAATATATATAACACTTTGTATTTATGCTGTATGACAGAGTGATAAAAATGAAGGTTAACAATTATTTTATACTAGCTGTGCCTATATTTTCCCTAAGTAAAACGTAGCCTATGTGTTATTCCAGGGTGTTAGCTAACTCCATACCAAATTTTATTGAAATCGCTCCAGCCGCTTAACGTAAAGAAGTAATAAACATACATGCTTACATACCCACAAACTTTCGCCTTTATAATATTTATGTGATTTCACAATAATGTAATAGAAGGTGACTTCATGAATCACCTAATATTGCAGTCATATTTCAACTTGACGTCTCTGTATATAAAAATAGGAGGAAAAAATAGTCCTTGCTAAGTTTCTTGCCGGTTGTTCGCAGTACAAGGCCTTCCGCCGTAGATTTACGAACCGATGGCGTAGGTTCTAACCATTTATGAGTGTTTGTAACTGCCTCGACTGACTAAACAATTTTTTGATTTTAATTATGAAATATTGTTACCGTACAATGTTTATTTCTTAACAGTTTAAATATTGAAGTCTAATATTTGCTGAAGACTACGCTGTCATATGTTTCAGTCTCTTAGTAAACTTCGTAAATATTTACATTTTGATAAGTCATAATCTCAGAATTCAAAGAAATTTGTCATGTTATTTAGCGAGTACCTAGCACACCATACGCACAGTAGTCTCAATAAAAATTAATAAGACTGGGTCGTGGGATTGGTGGGTGTTAACGACTGCAGATGCAGCCGGGACCAATGGCTTAACGTGCCTTCTGAACCACGAAGGCGCTCGAGATTATAAGTTTTTGTCACCCATCCAATGACCGACCATTGCAAAAGTTGCTTAACTTCCACGATCTCAGCCCGAGCGCACTAGCCACCCGTGACATCGAGCTTCGCAGTTTTTGCATAATAAAAGTTTATTTGGAGAAGGAGTATAAAAACCTTATTTTTATACATATTAATGCATTAATTAGAACATTACGCATACTAACATGCGTTGCATTGGAACATCATGATCGTGTTTGACACACAGACACACAGACTTTTTGATAGAGAGAACAAAAAACAATCTGGTTATATTATTATAATTTATTAATAAATACGAGACTAGATATTTCAAATGATAAAAACGATAATTTTGGCTAAATGTGAAATAGTTGAAGTCATAGCCTTTTTGTTATGCCCCTTGAATTTGATATCGTCTTGTAACTTTGCTATCTCCACTTTATTCAAGGAGTTGCCAAATTTACGTAAACAATGTGTTCACTTTAAAGGAAACAAACGCCATTGTTAGATAACTTTTGACCAAAAGTGGAGTTAACAAAATTTCTTGTTAAGCAGACGATATTTACAAATCCATATTCTGCTCCCTGGTGTTTTATATAAATAGCTTTTATGTACATTTTAATCTATCTGCACTTCATTTCTTTTTTACTATGTTATAAACAAATTAACAAGACCCATATATTCAACAATGTCTTCAACAAAACAATTTATCTCGACTAATATAAATACGGTATACACCCCGGCAAACTCCTTGAGAAACGACCATAGACAAGGAAGCCTGCGCAATAGTAATTTTACATACAAAAACGTCTACTGCGCATGTTTATTTGTCTGTGGTTTTCCTCAAAAAGTTAGCCGCTACCTATAATTGCAACTTGAGTACCAGGCCACCATGTGCTAAGAGGAGGTCAATATCTTCCGTAAATGGTGATGGTGAAGTTGAAGCCATAGCCTTTCTGGCTCTTTAGTTTGATCTTGACGAATCTCTGGCCGACGCCTCCAGCTGAGATGGTAGGATACCCTCCGCTGCCATCATTCCTGTGGTCCTTCACGTAGATGGCTTTGATGAATGCGTAATTCACTTGTCCCGGTTCCGGGTACTCTATCGTACTCTTCCTCACGATCAGGGGGAACCCATATTTGTACTCGTTGACTTTGTAAACGACCACATCGCCGTAGGTAGCCTGGCCCAACATAAGGTCGTGACTTTGGCAGAGATATGCATCGAAAAGGCACAGCAGACCGATTACGGTGAAAAGGCGCATTTTCGCGTCGTTTGCGTTCGTTCGTTACTGAAGCGACGGTCGCGTAACTTATTGTTTTATATGGAAATGATGGTGCTATGCAATAATGAAGAAGGAATTGTGGAATATTTTAATACTAAGCATCTAGCTTATTATCTCCATTTGATGACCTACGTGGCCAAGTGGTAAAGTACGCCGGGTTTAACGGTATCGCCAACTCGATTCCCGGTGGGACAGGTGTTTGTGTTATGAATACGAGCATTTGTACTGCAGTCATGGATGTTTAATATGTATTTTCTATATAAATATACTTATATATGTATCAGTATATGTATTCTATACGTTACCCTAGTATCCCATAACACAAGCCTATAGTGCTTACTTTGGGGCTAGGCTGATTGGTGTGAGTGTTACAAATATTTATTTATTATCCGATCGAATTAGTAGCCCGAGGTAGCAATCTCCACCATACAAGAGTGAATAAATGGTTGGTGGTGTCGCATTTATGTGGGTTAATAAAGTTCCAGGTCTTCACGGTGCAGGGTATAAAGATGATGACTACCTTAATTTTCCTCTTTTTCGGGTAAGTAGGTTTTAAAAAAAGTATTGAACACGCACCTATATTTCTTCACATAATCAAAACATTACGATGATATAAGGTTTTGAAATATGGCATGACATCATTCTTGGTACAATTTTTACTTAGAAGAGACGTCATGGGCCCCCAAAGTTTAAAGCGCTTTATCTTAGTATTTTTTCGTTTGATTGACGAAAGAAAAAATAAGTGTCCATTAAATTTTGATAAATCGAAGTAACGGGCTAAATTGGTCAGTGCATTCGCCCGGATAGCGAAGGGTGGATTTTTTTCTAGTTATATTTTCTTTAGATTTAAACATCAAGCAGTTACATGCTTAAAAAATAAAAATTATAACTATTATTTTATGGTTTTTTACAGGGTAAAGCTATTCTAAACAAATATTGTTACATAAAATAAGTACAAGTTTATAGACCTTTTCCTAGATAACGTTGTGATAACTGAAGTCAAGTGGTCATTGCCACATAATATGTAGGAACACTGTATTTTTTAATGTTATGGCTTAGCGTGGTTCGGAATCGCACATGAAGAGATCCGTATGGAAGATTTGAAATTAGTATAGTTAAAACAATCCTAAGCCCTTCCCCGGGTATCAAACTATGATATATTATCTATTATACCTAATACTTTTTGTATTTATACACAGCAATCAAAATGTGAGTGGACGTTGTATTGGTAGCGACATGTTTTTTTTTGTTAATGTTGCTACTTCTGTTAAACGCTCTGGTGAGTTTCTTGCGCCCATTCTTCTCATCAGCTAAAAGATGATGATGAAAGATGTCCTAAATGGGTTTTAGGAAAAAATATTGGACGGTTCAAAGACACTGGTGGCCAAGCAATACACCATGAGAAAAAGTTTATGTCCACCCTTCAAAAAAGAAAGTGATGAAATTTATATTGCTAATTTAAATCGTGGTTCTATATGGTATCAATTATTCCTCATAAACAAACATGAGAAGCATCACTCCTATCCATCACACTGAAGACGTGTCATATGACAGAGACCAATGTCATGGCAAAACACTGTTACTTCATCATGATATCCTAGTACTTTGGAGACCACATTTGTGCATGCAATATTAATCAGCAGCCTTATTTATAACATAATAAGAGCCTTAATCGTGCGCAATTACCTATCCTCTGCCATGTTCTCAACATTATGTCAATACCCTTGGAATGCAACATTATATTTTGGGTACGTGTATGTATTATTTTATGTATGAGTACCTTGTTGTCAAGTAACTTTCTTGATGGCTGGATCGGGTGGGTGACCGATATGATTTATTATGTCGAGATTTTTCGTACTTCACAAGGCACGTTAAGTCATGATCTTCGCTGCATCTGCTGAATTAAAAACCCATTAGTCTTCTCTGGGTCACCTAAGTGGGCTATGTTAGGCTTGGATTTCCTGTGCTTCTGGCCTGTGGTCCAGCAGTGAGGACATTAACACGCTGTTAAGTAGTATAAAGCTTGATATGTTTTTTTTATTAATAATAATGGGCAAATGATTCCTCACCACCTGATGTTTGGAGGAGGTAGAGTATAGAAGTAAAGGTATTTTTTTAGTTTTACCTACCATGTCAGACATCCTCACTTTGCCAGCCTGCACAAAGGTTTTTCATGTCTCTTTTGACAGTTCACGGGTTATAGGAAGGAAAGAATAAATACGCAGCCAAAAATCCACTTGCGAAAGAATTAATAATGAATCACCTAATATCCTTGTTCACATTGAAATGTGACCACAACAAAAAGGCGGCAACGTAGACGTAGCAATGTGTAGGAAAGAGGAATTACAAATACTTAGTTAGTTTAGTTTAGTTTTTCAGGGCGGTTTCCGCACTTAGTCCTAATCATTGGACCATTGTGCGTGTCTTGAAACATTCCCGTTTACTCCAGCCAGCCTAGGTTAGTCCAGAAGGAAAGCAGTCTTGACAGACTGCTGCAAGCTTCCGGAAGCGATGCGGGTGACTGGAGAAGTCGTGCCCATTGGTCGGCCACACTCCTGCATTCCATAATGACATGTTGTGGCGTTTCCTCTGCCTCCATACATCCTCTGCATAGGGAGCTGTCTGTCGCTCCTAATGTGTATAGGTGCTTGTTCAAGGGTCAGGCATGACAATGACCAGTCAGGGTTCCCATGACTATGCGGAGTTTGTCCCTATTAAGTCTGGTAAGGGTGCGGGCAAGTCTCTTGTTCGCCTCCGGAACTGCGTTTTTCGTTTGCCGGCATCCTTCACCTGTTTTCCACTCAGTCAAGTGTAGTTTCTGAGTTCTTTCACGCAGCCACGTCTTAATTTGGGCCTGAGGTATAGGCAGAAGAGGTTCCGGACCATACACTTTTGTGTCTGCTCCTCTCTTAGCCAATTCGTCTGCTGCGTCGTTTCCGATTGAGTTGCTGTGTCCTTTTATCCATTGCAGAGTTACCGTAATGGTTACCGCAATGGATTGAAGTGCACTGTGGCACTCCATTACCAGGACAGAGTTTATTGTGTTGCTACTTAGGGCTTGAAGCACGGATGCACTGTCAGAGATGATCTTAATGTTGAACTCTCTGATGTCTCTGGCTGCAACCGCCTGTGCCGCTCTGGTAATGCCAATACATTCCGCCTGGAAGATTGTGCTTAGTTTGTCTAAGGTTGTGAATATTTTTATATTTAGGTCGTTCGAGAAGACCAATGTTGGTTTTGGAGCCATCTGTGTATATCCTAACTTCCCCGGCGCCAGAGTAGTCTAACTTTTCCGCGGTAAGTTGGATGTTGTATCTTCGATCAAAGACGTGTTGATCCAATATTCTATCCATAGGTGCCTCCAGGAGTGGAATCTCCTTCATGCACCTTTGGAGAACATTGGAGTGTGTTGTTACAGTGTTTGATCTCCATAGGCCCAAAGATCTTAGTCTCAAGGCTGCTGCTATTGCCTCTTCTTGTATGACCAGGTCTAGAGGTCTTAAGTTCAAGAGGTATTCTAATGCAGCAGATGGAGTTGTTCTCATGCATCCAGTTGCTGCTACGCTCGCCAAGCGCTGCAGACTTTGGAGTTTAGATTTCACTGTGGTCAGTTGGGTTCTGGGCCACCAAACAACTGAACCGTAGGTTATTGCTGGCCTGATAACTGCTGTGTATAGCCAAAGAGTGATCTTTGGACTAAGACCCCATTTCTTACCAACTAATCTTCTACACTGGTTAAAAGCTATGCAGGCCTTCTTTGTTTTAAATCCAATATGACTCGCCCAGTTCAATTTGTTATCAAGGATTACGCCCAGATATTTCACTTGTGTTGATAGGGAGAGTTTGGTATTAAACAGTTTTGGTAACTGTAGTTCGGGCCGCTTCCTTTTGTTGGTGAAAAGGACAAGCTCTGTTTTATTCGGGTTTACTGACAAATCATGTTCGTCACACCATTTTTCCACAATCTGAAGGGCAGAACGCATAACTTTGCACAGGACGTTTTCAGCGTTCCCATTTATCAGAATTGTTAGGTCATCCGCATAACCAATAGTTGTGTATCCTCTATCATTCAGATTCCTTAGGAGGCTGTCTACTACTATGTTCCAGAGAAGTGGTGATAGGACTCCCCCTTGAGGACATCCTCTTACTACCTTCGCACGCGTGGAAGTATTCCCCACTATCTGAACCGCCCTTTTGCCGACCAGTTCGGTGATCCAACTCCTGGTAACTTGGTCCACCTTGAGTTTTCTTAGGGCGTGGTTAATGCTGTTGTGCATCGTTTTGTCAAAAGCACCTTCTATGTCTATGAAAGCTGCCAATGTTGACATTTTGTTTGTGATTGCCGACTCTATTTTATGGACCACCGCATGCAGTGCCGACTCTGTTGATCTGCCTTTTCTATAGGCGTGTTGTTGAGGGTGCAGCGGGACCTTACTAAGTGCTCCATCCCTAAGGTGTCGGTCTACCAGTCTTTCCAATGTTTTCAAAAGGAACGAGGTTAGACTAATTGGTCTGAAGGATTTGGCTTGTGTGTAATCGTCTTTGCCCGGTTTCGGTAAGAAGACTACTTTTGCCTCCCTCCATGGTTTCGGTATATATTTGAAGGCCAAGCAGGCCTTAAAGATTGATTGTAAGTATTTAATTGCCTGGCCAAGTTGCCATTGTAGTAGCGCCGGAAAGATGCCATCCAGTCCTGCCGACTTAAATGGTTGAAAGCTTTTTATAGCCCATTCTATCCTTTCCGCCGTTACTATCGTTTTTGCCAGGTTCCATTCCTGGGTTGTTGGTGCATTGTGGTGCTCATTCGACCACTCAAGGCCAGGCGCCATTTGACATCCTGGGAAGTGGGTTTCCAGAAGCAGCGCATTTGCTTCTTCTTCTGTTTGTGTATAAGTGCCATCTTTCCTTTTTAGAGACCCAAGAAGGTTGGAGTTGTCCTTGGACAGAACCTTCTTAAGTCTGGCAGCTTGATTTGTTGAATTAACACTACTGCAGAATCCGCGCCAACCTTCTCTACTCCGGAATCTGATTCGCTTCTTGTAGTGTTTTTGTGCTATTTTGTATTTGTCCCAGTCCTCATTGGTTCTGGTGTTTTTCGCTCGATTGAAAAGTGTCCTGAGTTCCTTACGTAGTTTTTCAAGTTCAGGCCCCCACCAGGAACTTTTACCCAGGTCTTTCGGTACGATGGTTACAAATACTTAACGGAACTTCCAAGGATGCGAGCTCCATTTGCGTACAATAAAATGGCTTTAATACTAGTTTGGAGCTCGATGGCGCATGTGGTTAGCGCGTTCGGCTGCGATCGTTGAAGTTAAGGAACTTTCGCAGTGGTCGGTCATTGGATGGGTGACCAAAAATTTACTATCTCGAGCTCCTTCGTGCTTCGGAAGGCACGTTAAGCCGTTGGTCTCGGCTGCATCTGCAGTCGTTAGCACCCACCAACCCGCACTGGACCCGCGTGGTGGGTCATGGCCCAATCTCCCTAATTCATCCATAGGGAAGGCCTGGGCCCCAGCAGTGGGGACATTAATAGGCTGATGATGATGATGACTAGTTTGAGTACTGAGTTTCACCACGTGGACGAAGCAAAAGAATCCAGAATCTGCCTTTAATCGAATAGAGAATTCTATTTAACCATCAGACAAATCGACAATTCGACATACCACAATTTTCCTTAACGAAGGGGAAGTACTAATAAAAGGCAACGTACCAACGACTCATTATTGAAACACTGATGACATCAACTTTGAAATTGAACAATGAGTGATGCGCTAGTTTCATTATCATTACCATATCTTTATCATTATACCAATATGTTACCAATAAAACAAGTACAAAAGTTATGTTTATTTAAACTGTATGCCTATATTATTTGAGTTTCTAGCTACGAATAAGCCTGAAACATAAAACATGCCAGTGTGATTCACGCAGAATTAAATAAATGTGTGTGGTGATTCATTTCTTGCATAATTATAACTTTTTCCTTCATAAAACTCTCTGGTCTCGGTAGGTCGGTATAATAGTAAATTAATTGTCTTAATTGTGGATTTTCACAATTTATATTAAACTTGCTTCTGCCCGCGAATACGTCTGCGTTATCTATAGCTTTTTTAGAATTCTACAGGAACCTATGATTTTTCCGGGATAAAAAGTATTATATGTCTCAATCCAGGTCATAAACTAGATACGTACCAAATTTTATACAAATCCGTTAAGTACTTTTTGCTTGATTGAGTAACAAACATACAAAATTTCACATTTATAATATTTATATTGATTGTCCATCAATCATCATCAATGTTCAGTGTTCATCAATGCGTGTCATTAAATAACTATTACAATTTGTACTGAAATAGCTTTACAATTTCCTTACTTTACTTTCAGCCTTAAATTTTGAAACATATATTATGATGTCTTATCTATACATATAGTGGTATATAAATTAATTCAGGCATTTTGAAATATTACCTAATAGTTAGGGTCTGTGTTAAAATTATAGTGTGCGTTTTCAGAAAAGAGCTTGCGGCTATTGCTTACATTTTTTAAGCAAGCACTCACACTAATTAAATTAGCCTAGCTTTTTTTATTACGCAGACAAAACCTCTATTTACAGACTTTGGCGCCCTTAAGGGGCACACCAACGAACGGATCTCACACCTAGCCTCTCGCAAGTCTCACGGCAGCAAAAGCTGTTAAGCAGTCCGCGCGGCTTACGAGCGCTTACGGCATACTATCCGCTAAAAACCCTGCGAAACGCTGTTAAGTGCGGAACCGCGAGATCCCCGTTGAGGGACTTCATCGCGTCTCCGCACCCAACAGCCTCCCAGTCTAGCCGGGGCCATTTAGCCTAGCTTAGAACTGTAATGCTTGTGGTCTGACTTATTAGGATAACGGATAGAATACATATACTGATACATATATAAGAACATTTATCTAGATATACATATAAACATCCATGAGTTAGGTACAAATGCTCGTCTTCATTACATACACATTTGGCTCATCGAGATACGAACCCGGGAGCTCAGAGTAGGCGACACCTTGAAACTCCGCCTACATATTACTGGAACCATGGAGGTCGTTATATTACTAATGAGTAACTATATTGGGAAATCAGAAAATATTCACAAATACGCTATAATGATTGAAGAATGTGATCTTAAAAACAATAAAAAACGAAACGAACAAGTAATTTACCTTTTATTACAAATAAAAAATACCGGCTATTTTATACCTTTCTCCATTGCGGGTCATAATAATTGTCATATTTACAACTCTGATATGTTGGGGGGTCAGCATAGACCTCAACTTTGAACTTGTATCCTTTGACTAACGATTTGGTCTTCAGAGAAATTGTCACACTATTCATACCAATTCCACCACTAGTAATGGATACTTCACCGTGTCCGTCCTCCGTTAAATCAGTCACATAAATAGCTGAAATCAATTCGTTGCTTGGCACATTCACAATGACATCTTCGTATCTTCGCCATAGCAAAGCCGCCGATCCCTCTCTGATTTCACTAAAGGCTTTTCTAGAACAAGACTGTATATATCCCACTCGTAAATCACCCGATTCAACTAATGTTAAGCAAAATATACTTATGAGAGCAAATTTCCACATAATGAACGTTATAGGGACAGAATACAAATCCAATTGAAAGGTCTGTACAAAAACATTACTTATATATAAGTCCAATCTATTCTGAGATCATTTATTATTCATGGTTACAATAATGATTTATTTAAATTTGAGTGTCACATTGCTTCTAGATTTATTTCTTCAGTAACGACAACAATTAAAGTGTAAGATGTGTATGAAATATTTTCTGTATCATAAATTACAGAAATGATATCATCATGTCCATTCATGAAGACTTCTTGTTCACACTTATCTGCTAAATTGTGGTTTACGCAACTACCTGTCAAGAGATCTACAACTACGTTATTATTATAATTGTCATCTCTCAACAGTACGGACGCTTCAAAAATGTATCTACTATCTGTAATTTCATTAACATTGCTGTTTTTAGGTTCAAAATCTCACGATTTGTACCTCGGGTATCCCGATATCGGATCGAAATTGATATACAGCAAAGTGCATCAAGAAAATCCAGCTATTTGGGTCAGATCTGAAACTTTTACTGTGAACTGTTCCAAAAATGAAGTGATCAACGCTGTGCAGATTATGGATTTAAGGCAAGACAAGTGGGGTGAAGCTTACATTAAGGCGGGTGGGATCGGTGATCATTTCGTCACCATTGAGTTGGACAGCCCGAGTGTGTTGAGAGGATACAATTTTTGGGTAGACATTTACGCTTTACAAAGCAATACATTTCTGTATCAACACGGAAGGAAGTAGAATTTGACGATGTCTTCGATGTAAAAAGAAGTTTATAATAAATTCTCCTTGTAATATCACTTGGGAGTTTAATTGAATACGTAACCTAAATTGTCATCATGTTCGATTTGCATTTAAAGTAAAAACTAGGGGAATTAATTTTTCATTATTTCGAACTACATTAGAACTACTATCGCCTAATCACATAACACTACCTACATGATAATAAATTCGTGTTTTACCAATTTAGATTGCTATATTGAACCTATGAAGAATGGAATCGGGGTTTTCCTGTTGTCAACAAATTGTTAAATTATTGTCGAACTTTTAAAGAGGTTCCCATTCTTTTTTTTCTCCTAGACAACTTTAATAATTAATTAACTATTACGGTGGATCCACTGCACCTACACTTTAGTCAAAGTCGAAAGTTAAAATTTCTTTATTCTATTTAAAAGGATAATACTCTTTTGAATTGCCCATATTTTTCCCCTACCATCCGTTATAGGATTTTTTTAGGTGTGGAGAAATGTTAATTGCTTATTCCCAAATCTCGTCAAAGAATGTGAAATGTTCCTATCTCCATAGCACTATTTAGTTTACATGGAATTGTCATAAAAAAAACTCTTTAGAACTTTTTTTATGTGAAAAGGGTGGCCAACAATGTTATGACCCGCCTGATGGTAAGCGGTCATCATAGCCTATAGACGCTTGCGATAAAAAAATACGAGTATCACTCACGCCGTTGCCTACCCTGACCCGATCCCCTACCCCGTGAAGCCCTGGGGGCCATTCGCCTAACGGGAATGCTATGGAAAACGCTATCGCTTACGATTTCATTTTGTCATTTCTGACCGCCGAAGGTTTTCAAATACCTCACGCTCATTTGCTTTAATATTGTTATTACCAATGCAAAAGAAAAAAAAGAGCGTGAGGTATTTGAAAAAACTCAGGCGGCTAGAAATAACAAAATGAAATCGTAAGCGATAGCGTTTTCCACAGCAATCCCGTTAGGCGAATGGCCCCCTGGAACCTTAATCACTAACAGAAACACAACACCCCCAAATGTGAGTGTTATTTTACTGTGGTCTTCTATAAGGTGGAGATTACTTCCCCAGACGGGCGCTACAATTCGAGCGGCAAATCCGCTATACCCGGTCTCTCGAATTGTCCCAAACTCTATAGAACTATTTTGTTTAAATATAATTTTCCGATCTCCGTTTTTGGTTTACATTGAGTCCACTAAGGCAGTTTGTATTGTAATGTGACGTTTGTTCAGGTATAGCCGGCCCGTCGACCTTTCATATGACTAAACCAAAGGTCAACTTTACTGCTTCGGTCTCAAGAATCTTAATTAAGTGACTTACTCACCTACTAGGCTACCTACTCTTGGTCCGACAAATTCTTGTTTAATTTGGTTTACATGGTGTATTTTGTTATTAGAAACTACGTAATACACACAATCGCAATGAAAACGGGTCAGGCTAGCACCTTTTGAACTCTAGTTAGATTTTCTCAAAAAGTTTGTCTTATAACTATCGAAGTTATGCTATAACAAAGATTGATAATGATTTTAATGAATAAATTTTATTGTTAAAGTATTTTTAACATACTGTGTAATAAATTAACCGTACATTTTAAAATATCTATTTTTTCATGTCTATGAAATTGAAATGGGACAAGAAAATTATACTTCGCACAAAGCTAAAGACAATAAGTACAAAATTCCAACATTGTGGGCAGTAATTTTTATGCAACTTCTATGAACTTGCGTAAAAATTATAGTAAAAAAAGCTGCCTGGGGACCTTAATTTATATTTCATTAATTTCAGATACAGTATTATCTATTTTATCACATTTATGAAATAAAAATGTAACAAAAAAAATGCTATTCACAATGCTGAAGACAATACGAAAAAATACCGATACTTTGGGCAGAGCAAGAGCGATTCCCTTTTTAGACATTAACTAAAAAAAGAAAGCGGAAAGTTACATAGAAAAATAATTATGTCCAGTACAGAGGCGAGAAAGAGCCATCCAATCAAAAAATCGTTAAATTAATATCAGAGAATGATAGTTTTGATAACCTAATGACCTGGGTTTAACCACTGATACAGTTTGAACAGTATCAACCATTCAGTATATTTTGACGCAGCAAAGAGTCAACATGGGTCTTAAAAATATACTACTGATTAGCTTAGCTATCATTGCCGTGGCACATTGCAAATCGGTCATATTAGGCCAAATAGTAGACCACAGTGGATTAGTGAGGATGGTGGACCAAAGAGTGGTGGAAAGGAACGCTATACCGTTTATTAAACGTACGGACGAATTATCATTTACTACACAAGGACGGCCTATAAGAGGAATAGCCTTGAAAGATTTGGAGAATGGGCTTGCTGAGCCATCTGTAACCCGTGGTGGCTTAGGCTTCGATTATGCCGAAATCAGATTGAAGAGCGAAAGAGGTTCCGGTTATAAATTTGTTGTGGAAATATACGCTTGATGGCGGAGTGATTTTATAACAATTAGTGTATAACGATGAAAAACAAAACCCTTTAATGAAGTATACAAAATTATGAATAAAATCAATGTAACTATCAATAATGGTCTTTGTGGTATATGTGTGTGTGTGATGTGTTACGTCACAATAAGTTAGCATACAATTACAATATTTAACAAACAATGCATAACAGATCTTCATAAATGATTCATGTGTAATTATTAATACACAAATCTAATATATAAAATTCTCGTGTCACGGTGTGCGTAATTGAACTACTCCGAAACGGCTCGACCGATTTACGTAAAATTTTTCAGTAGGTCTGAGAATCGGACAACATCTATTTTTCATCCCCCTAAATGTTAAGGGTAACCCTTAATATATTTTTTGGACAAAATTATTTGTTTTTATTTTTTTACGATACATCATCATACAAAAACACTTACAACCTTAAATTTTCACCCGTCTACCACCAACCCCTATTTTTTTATAGCGGTACGAAGTTCGTTGTGACACCTAGTCTTTATATATATAATTCTTCTGTGAGTGTGTATGTCACTGAACTTCTCTTAAACGACTGGACCGATTTTGATGAAATTTTTTGTGTGTGTTCAAGGGGATCTGAGAATGGTTTAGATTCACAATTTTGTCCGCTGGACAATGTTTTTTTAGTTAATTTTTTTTATGGCGGTACGAAGTTCGCTGGGTCAGCTAGTATTATATAATTTTCTCGTATCATATTGTTTGTAACAAAACTCCTACGAAACAGCTGGACCGATTCGTATAAAATTTTGTGTGTATATCCAGTAGGTCTGAGAATAGGACGTAATCTATTTTTCGTATTCCTAAGTGATATGTGTTCACCCCATTTTTTTATTTAAAATGAATTTGGTGGTTCCTAAGATTTTACTAGTAGCTATATTTATTTAACCCATTTTTGTCCACCTCTAAAGCACCCCTACATTACCGAGTAACATGGCTATGTTATAACACGATGAAGTAAACTTCATCCGTACCAAGGCGGGGCGGATCGCTAGTTCTAAATAAATATACGTACCTAAGGAAAATAATAAACGTACCTAGTGGCGACATGTAAGCGCGCTTTAGCGATAACCGTTGTAAATAACATCTGACCTCCCGAGTCCTCTCGTATCGTCGCGTCGTCTCACTTACATTCATACCAGTAAGTCGGTAACAGCGTCCAAACAAGCTCGTTCAAAATGTTGAAACTCCTCACAATATTTAGCGCTTTAATGGCGATTACTTACGCCAAAAGTGTCATCGTAGGTCAAATCTACGACTACAATGGTGTTGTTCGGAAAGTATATGAGAAGACCGTGGAGACCAGTGGTATACCGTTGATAAAGAGGGAGCAGGAAGTGTACTTCGAGTATGCAATAGGAGACCAGAAGATCAAAGGTATAGCGATCAAGGATTTGGACAATGGACTAGCTGAGCCGTCTATAACTCGTGGAGGACTGGGTTTCAACTTCGCCAATATCAAATTGAAGAGTGAACGAGGTTCCGGCTATCGATTCCTGATTGAAATCTACGCTTGATTTGTTCCTGTTATTGATTTAAATACGTATCGATTCCGTTTGTGATTGAGATCTGAATACTCGAATTTGTTTTAAGTAAAATGTTTTTTTTTATTGTGATTTTTTTATTGGTTCTTTAAACTTTATTAAGTGATAACAATGTTTTTATCATTGAGAGATGCAGTAGTGATGTGCTTTACAGTGAACTGGATATAAGAGTACCTACTTGAACTATGCTTACATCCTGTGCGTCAAATAAGAAGTAGTATATATTTTTTTATATAGCCAGGTAGGCAAATGACTTTACCCCACCTGATGTTAAGTGGTGATAAAGTCCAAACGCGAAGATAGCTGGTACAGCAGTTATAAATTGCCACACCAACCATCCTCACCTTGCCCGCCTGCAAAAATGCTTCTTCACGCCTCTCTTAAAGGACCTCAGATTGTAGGAAGGAGGGAACATAATGCGCGGGCAAAGAATTCGACTTACGAATAGTACGACAAAGAAATGAGTCACCAAATTTCCTTGTTCGTGTAGGAATAGTGGCCACAGTAAGTAAAAATAGTCCACTTTTATCAAAGGCTGTACTATGCTAAGGCCCGTATTACAGAATGACAACTAAGTGTTGATCTTTACTTGAGTACAGTTAGAAAGGGATATCGCTATGTGCTATATACAGCGACCTCTCTTTCTAACTATGCTCAAGACAACTGAGAATCTTTCTTTAATACGGGACTAAGAAACGCATATTGCGCTAAAGCAAGACAAAATAGATAATCCACTTATACTAACCGTAGTTAAGTGTTATTAGATTTTTTATACCTACCTATTTAGTAGTTTTTTAAAGTAATCTATGGTATTATGAGGGATTGCTATTATGTACATGTATGATAATAAAATAAATTACTAAAGTGTAAGTGACCATGGAAGTTTAAAACAGTATATATTAGATAGTTTATTGTCTCTTTTCAAGAAATGAATGAGTGATTATAATAATAATAATTCAAATTATGTGATGTCAACATAACAAAACTTTTTTTTAATAAAATCAACTTCTGTTAAACGAAACTACTAAAAAGTAAGAAATAGTATAATTCATTACTCTAATTTAAACTAGATTTGAAGTCAAATTTACATTTGGTGTCGATTAATGCCAATCCAAACTGTAAACTGTAACTCAGATCTATCAACAAGCATATACCTATGGCACCGACCGCAAATGTTAATTTGAGGTTGAGATAAGCGCAAATAACAATAAAAAAATTATACTGACGAATTGAAGTTGGTTCAACCTTATTATATGGTATAAGGAGGATTCTAATAAAGGAGGTTTCTTCTTAAATCGCAATAGGTGTATTACAAATGTTATTAAACTTCATTGACCTTGTGCTATAGTATGGAGCACCCTTTTTATGTGAATACGACTCGCTACATCATTATGTTATCTTATATATAAAATTCTCGTGGGTCTGAGAATCAGCTACAATCTATTTTTCATATCCTTATGTGATAATTGTTGTCTACCTATAACGTAGTGTTGTGAAACCTATAATGTACCTTCGCGCCAAAATCAAACTATTGGGTATTGTAACGTAGTGGGTTAGGGATGTTATCCCAGGAAATTGATAGAATACTACATTACACACCCCTTAAATTTTTTTTGGACAATATTTATTTTTTATAATGGGCTATTAAAAAATACATATAACCCTAAATTTTCTCTTCTACCTCCTGCCACTATTTTTATGGCGGTACGAAGTTCGCTGGGTCAGCTAGTTTTATATATTTTTTATTTTTCCAGTACAGTACCCCAAGAACAAACTTTTACATATACGTAATTGTATAATCATTATCAATTGTCATTTCTATGGAAGGGTCTCTGCATGGAATAATTACGAAATTCTATTTAAATAACAAACGCAGTCACAAAAACCTAAAAGTAGAAAACAACTTGAATTACAAAACTGAAGAAAATTTTACTCGAAAGAAAAAACGACTGTGTCAGACAGACAAACAGACAACCGAGTGATCCTATGTGGTTTCCGTTTTTGCCGCTTAAGGTACAGAACCGTAAACACATCAAAAGACAATTCCTAAGAAGGGTTGGTTATAATCACACTAATATTATAAAAGCGAAAGTTTGTGAGTGTGTATGTTTGTTACTTCTTCACGTTTAAACGGTGGGAGCGATTTAACACATAGGCTTAGTTTTACCGCGGGATAATATCCCTAATAAACCGCGTGTAACATTGCGGGGCACAGCTAGTATCTAATAAACCCACTGGTCACAGCACAGATAGATATTTAAAAAATATCGCGAAGTGGTAAATAAGTTACTTCCTTGAAACCAGCATGATCTCATATCGGCATTGTGCGACACGGAAAAAATGTTTACAGATTTCATTTAGTACTTAATTGGTATTCAATGCGCAAGTGGTCAAGGCGATGACTCACTTGTGATTTTTATAAAGTTTTTTTTTCATAATTTCACGCTATATTCCGTATCCAATTAATTAAAAGCTTATTCCATTGGGCCAAGCACGAACTTTGACAGATAAGTAATCGTATCGCCACCGTAAAATTTCCTATGGAATGAGCCAGTTTGTTCTTACATCTGGTAGGGGCGCTGTTTAGTTTCCATAGATACTTTGACGCTGCGATATGATGATGGATCATTTGTTTGTAGCTAATAGGGTGTTTAATTTAGAATGACTCTAAATAGAGGTCACTACTTACGTCACCTTAGACGAAACTAAGAATTCTCTAAACTGCTGCTGCAATGTAAAGGCGCTGTCCCACAACCTGTGATGACGCGAGCGAAGCCGCGCCGCGCATGGTAGCCAAACATATGAGAACTCTAACGTTCGAGATTTAGCAGACTCTTTAAATGATACGAGGTAAATAGAAATCTCGTACACTTTGTGATGGTATAATGAATTTGTACTTACTAAGTCGATCCTTTGTGGACTGGACATTTATTTACTTCCGGTTAATATTTTTGGTTTGTGTACATGACACAAACAGTCCACATAGTTCAAAACTCATATCAAAGTGTCTATCAATCTATTTATCTCGTATCGTGTAAAAATGAATTCTCATAAGTTTGGCAATCCTGCGCGGCGCGGCGTCGCCCGCGACAACACAGGTCGTCGGACTACTATTTATCGGGTACTTTTATAAAATAGAACTGAACACGAATTTTTTTCTTTATCAAGACATTACAGAAACATAGGTATTGATTTGAAATTTCCCGTGACATCACGTCTTGGATTTTTTTTCCTGAGAAGTGACGTCACGAGTCGTCACCTCCAATATTGGTCATGTTTGGTCGATTGACAAAAGAAAAAATAAGTTTTCATATTTTTTTGGTAGTCTACTTAAAGGACTAATTAGAATTTTGTTTACTTTTATCATTCCAATTCTCCCAATTGCGATAGCTGTAAAAGGTTTATCTACCAATTTACGACATTTTGAAAAGGCTTCTACTACTTCATGAGGATTTCCGTCACCTTACGGATAACATTGTTTATATTTAGTATAGAGGTCATAGTTATGGAGTCATATGGGACTCTAGATAGCACCACACTTTCCCAAAAAGCACCTGTCTTCATTATTCAAACTTTTATGTTATAGACCTACATTAAATATCCTTTTTACTACCCTTATAAAAAACTATATACAAATAAAATTATAGGAAAATTACAGTGAGCCAGTCCGATTGTTTATAAGTCTACTTTAAAAAAACCAAAACGACACAAAGTAGGTTATATACTCATAATAACAAAGTTGATCTATATCTTATCAAAGCCATAATATTTTATCATTGGGACGATGCCGGGTGACAGTTTCTGCTTATTGCCACTATTGCCAAAGAGTTTTTATAGATCCGTCCATTATTGGCATCAAACAAAATTGCCCTTACTTCAGAATTATAATTAAAAAAGTTGCAAAGGCACAAATGGCAAGAATACTAGCAAAAAAGTTTGCTGTCGCTGTTTTTGTAGTGTGCGTTATAGAAAAATCAAACTGCGAAGGAGTTTTTATTGGACAACGAGTGGCGGACGACAAATTAATTCATAGAAGTATACACGAAAAAGCACCTTTTATATATAGATCAACAGATGTTGCTTTTCCTGATTATTATGAAGAAACGAACAATGTTATAAGTGCAATTAATGTGATCGACAACGATTTAGATGATGGTGCTTCGGCTGTTGTGGATTTTGGTGGTATCGGACATACGTTTGCTAATATACATTTGAGAAGTGCATTGTGGTGCGGGTTTAATTTCACAGTTGAAATTTATGGTGTGAAATTGAAGTGATATGAACGAAATTCTGTTAAAATAATTTACTAATTGATTTATTTATAAAGATGCAATCTGGTATTGGTAAAATAGTTTTTTTTTATCCTAAAGGCTGGTTTACGTCGTGGTAATAACATATTTTGGCAATATCACCTGGGTGGTATTGCTACAAATTAAAAAAAACTGTTAAAATTATCAACATTCAGTAGCATATTAAACGTCGATGCCATATCATGCCTAGATCAATTTGAAAGCATTGTGCTGTCAAATACTTTAAAAATTTTGTATGCCGCAATGCCGCAAATTGTTGCCGGAGCGTAAATCAGTCTTAAGGCGTTCGTAGTTCGTATGTACAGTACCCCTAGCACGAACCATTATCGAATTCGAATAGTTTGCAAACCGAAATGACAATATCAAATTTTGTACAGAAACTTGAACAGCAGCGGCACAAAGTACGTAAAGAGAACTAAAAATCAGTACACATTTGACAATGACATTTCGGACTCACAAACGATACGCATTTGATATTGGTGCATGCTAAGGGTATACATATATATTATGTATGATAAAAAAAGAAATTTATGTATGATAAAAGCCGGAGTTCGGCGACTTACCGCAAACGCTCCTTACACCGCCACGGGTACCTAGGGCTAGGCTTCAGAACGGGGTTCGTCAACGCTCTTGGGAAACTATTGCCGGCAATGTATCGCACATAGGAGTCCACAGGTCAGAAGGTTCACGATATCTTCCTGAGAAAATGGGTACTCTCACTTGATGTAACGGAAATTCGTTTAGAGCTGTTGATAGCTGCTTACACGTCGGGGACTCGAAGTGA